TGATGTTGAACATTGAAGACACAAGTGCACAAACACTGAGAATGTTCTTCACAGTGAAGTAGAGAGACTTCTTGTTTGGGTTTTTCTTTGCACATCAGATCAGATACTCATTATTGTTCCATATAAATCAGTTTTTATAAATCAGTGTGTTGGAAAACAGAAAATAAAGTGAAACTGGAGTGTGTTGTGAGTATGAGACACCGGTCATAATGAGCTGAAGGGGTTGGCGGAGGGTGACGCACCTGTAGCTGCTGTTGTATGATTTTCATGTTGTGTCTTTGTAGGAAGTTCTGCTCATGTGAGCGCACTCTATCCAGCTGAGACAGCAGGTTGGTGAACAGCACCGTCGCCATTGAATCATCGGTAGCTGCTGTGTCCCTGAAAAACAGACGAGGCACAAAACAAAAAGGCCATGAATAAGAATACGGCTGAAATAATGTACATAAAACCAAAAAGAGACGCCCAATAAAGTAGTTTCTGAACTGTGGGAGGGGCTTAAACTGGAAGTTGGCGGTAAATTAAAGCCAGAAATGTATTTGGGTTGATCAGAAGTTAATATATTTATTATCAAACCCTCAGAATTGAGCTTCAGAGCACTCGTTTGATACTAAAAAGAAATCCATTATCTGTTCCGGATACTTGTTTTAGCCGAGTACTGTGTAAAGATGTATAACTTCATTACCCAGGAACATGAGCGTTGCTATATTATATTTATTATAGATATTGTTGGTTGCTCTGTGACGATTTGTAATGAAGCCAGGTGTTTGGTGCAGATGTTTGCTAACGGTGTTATAAAGTTGGTATAAAAGTGTTTACGCATCCAGCCGACACAGAGCAACATAAGCATTCATTCATGTTCCTGGCCGCCTGATGAAGTCGAGTATTCACTCTTTGTTCTCCACCAACTCCTCTCTCCAGCTGCTAAATGCTCCAGATGTTCACCAGCTCCTCGCTAACCATGTTCTACAATGTGACCAGGTGGGTGATAGTGAGTTGTGGGATGTAAAACCAAAACAAGGAGCTGAGGGGAACTTTACAGTTGGGGGATAATTGTTTGTGGTTTTTGTTTCTGTGACCAACCTCTTTTTTTAACATTTCACTTTCACTATTGCCTTTGCAAAAGCATCAACGGGGGAAGACGCCAGTAGATCCTTAAACTTAAACATACAAGAAAGAGTTTTTAACTGGTTATGTAACAGTCTCAGTTTAATACTGGTGCCTCTTTATTACCTACATAAAGAAACAAAACCATCAGTGAGAAGACTGGATATATTACCTTAAAAAATGATTTAAACAAGGTGGTGGAAACACTACCGCTTTGTCGACGGGGGCCGCCAGAATCAACAAAAAAATCCTTTTAGCCGTTTTAATTAAAAGTACTAATACCACACTGTGAAAATACTCCACTACAAGTAAAAGTCCTGTATTCAAAACCCTACTTTAGTAAAGGTATGTGAGTATATTCAGCTAAAATTACTTCAAAAACTAAAGTAAGAAAAGTAAAAGTACTCCTTGTGCAGTAAAATGGTTTCTGTCAGTGTTTCACTATTACATGTGATGTTTTTGGATTAATATGACTGTTTAGTAGTTTAGTTTAATCTACAGCAATAGAGCAAGTTTTTTAAATAATGTAGCTTAAGAAGTAGGAGAGGAAGGGTATGAAAAAATTTTAATCTTAAAAGTAACTAAAGCTGTCAGATAAATGTAATGGAGTAAAAAAAAATGCAATATTTGCCTTTTAGATGAGGTGGAGTAGAAGTATAAAGGGGCATAAAATGGAAATATTCAAGTAAAGTACCTCGAATTTGTACATAAGTAGTACTTGAGTAAATGTAGTTACACTGAAAAACACCAACATACAGTAGAGCTTCATGGCAGACCATCATTTTAAGTTAAAAAGTCAATTTACCCTCAGTGCTTTTATTTATTTTGAGGGCTCTGTCTCCCTCCACTAATGCACTATAGAAGTAAACGAGGAAAATGTGCTTTTTTCTCTCTCCACCTATAATTTGGTAAAAGTTATCTTTTTTTTAAGCTTTCACACAGACACACAC